AACAGATAAAACCATAAAATAGCACAACATGGGAACCAGGGAATAGCAATCAGTAAAAGATAGAGCAGTTGAAAAAAAATAAAAACAGTAAAAGCACTATTTAAAACCTGGAGAATGAGAAGGTCTGGTTCTTGAAGGCTTTCTCCATGGCTGCTCTCAAGATCTGGGACTCCCTCCCATGGGAGACTAGACTAAGGGCCTTTACAGACTGCCAGAAATAATGCAGCCTGAGACCACTTTAATTGTCCTGGCTCAGTACTATGGAATCATAAGAATTGTGGGGGGTTTTTTTGAGACATTGAGCCTTCTCTGTCAGAGAGCTCTTGTGCCACAGTAAACTACAGTTCTCATGATTCCCTAGCACTGAGCCAGGGCAGTTAAAGTGGTCTCAATCTGCATTATTTCTGGCAGTCTGTAAAGGCCCTGACTCTCTCCCTGTTATCCTTCTCACAGTAGGTAAACACTTTTAAAAAATAGATAGGCAACTAACAGTAAGTGTTATGAGCTGGATGCTCTACTGTTTTCTTTCTTCTTTTGCTTTTTTCCCCTTGTTGGCAATATAAGTTTAAATTATATTTTAAATTGCTTTAAACTGTGCTTTAATTTTATTACACTAGATTAGTTGGTCTTGCATTGTGTTTTCATTGTATTCTTTTCTTTTTTGTCTAACATTACTATGAGCCCCATTTTGCAGAGGAAAGAAGTATGGAAATCCAATAATAGAACATCAGGGACTAGTCAAGTGGGCTTGAAGGGGCACTCCATAGGCAAGACATAGCCACTGCCAACATCCAGTTAGGGGGAATATACAGTGAAGACACTCAGATCAATACTGGGTTTAGTAGCCAAATCAGGGGTGGAAAGAATATTGATAATAGTTCACTCCCAGGTTTAAAGCTAGGTTTCCCAAAAGTTGGTAACTCCTGTTGGGGACAAGAATAGATTAACAAGAATTTTTCACAATTTTCTCTGGGCATTCAGTGTCCAAAGGTGTTGCATGGAAATTATGCTACAAGGAAAAACAGATTTCCATCTCTTTCCCTCTCCCACACACAAAACCCCTGTTCCCCATGTAGAACATTTGTTTCTTGACAAAAAAAAAAAAATGCTTTTTTCTGCACAAGAAATCTCCTTTCTTCATAAAGTACAGGAGTTGTGCACATAGGCCAGGATAGCACGGACCAATCCTATATTATCCTGAGCTGGATCCTGACCCAGATCAGTCCCTGTGATGGCTGGGTGTTTATGTACCTTCCTGCCATTATGCCATGGACCCACTACTACCACACACCCCTTGCCATCATCTCTACTGAGAAGACCCTCATCACAGCCTCTGGTGTAGAAATAGGGTACCTGGCTACATCCACATGGCCAGGCACCCTCTTTCCAATTCAGAGGCTGAGATGGGGGTCTTCTCAGTAGAGGCAATGGAAGAGGCAGGTTTGGGGCACATGAGGCTGTCCAGCCTGCCTGCTCTTAGCACAGGGTTTCCTATTAATTCCACGGCAAACAACAGGTCTTTTTGAGTCATGCTAAGGCCCCTTTGAACCTGAATCAAACCTGACTTGCCAGATCAGTGTCCAGTTTGCCCCCAGCCCAGAACCCTTGGTCTGCATTGTTCAAACAAGACTGCCAACAACATGAAGTTGGGGTACCAATTGTTTACACATAATAGTTGGCACACAATAGTTTCTATGCAATACTGCTGGATATTTGAATCCAGAGAGAGTACTGTAGAGGAGTGTTTCCTTTCTCCACAGGAGGAAGAAAAATACTTAATTTTTTCATCTTCACATGTGAGGATGAAACAATCAAGGATTTATATCCCTAATCCAGAGACCTGCAAAGGTAATAATAATAACAATTTTTATTTATAGCCCACCCCTCTGTTAAACAATCAGGGTGGGTTACAGCAGTTAAAACAGACAAAGTTAAAACATTCCCTCATCCCCCAAACCTGCCCACCTAAACCCTTAAAACAGAATTAAACTAGAGAAAGATTAAAATGCTAAAAAAGCAGTAAAAACAAAGAAACAATAAAAAGAAAGTGAAACAGCAAAAGTGACAGGATGAAAATGAAGGCAAAAAACTCATCTCCCTGGGGCAGAAGTTATTCTGGGAAGGCCTGCCGGAAGAGATCCGTCTTCACTGCACTGCCTTTTTGAAAGCAGTAAGTGTAGTAATAAGATAGATCTCATCCGGCAGGTCATTCTATAGCCTGGGAGCAGCCGCAGAGAAGGTCCTCTGGGAGGTCTGGGACAGCCTAGTTTTTACTGGCTGTAGCAGATTTCTCCCAGAGGACCGAAGGGCACGGGGGGGATCATACGGGGAGAGGCAGTCCCTAAGATAAGATGGACCCAAGGCATGTAGGGCTTTAAAGGTCAAAACCAACACCTTGTACCATGCCCAGAAACTAATTGGCAGCCAGTGGAGGGATTTAAGCACAGGTGTTATGTGCTCCCTCCTAGATGTCCCAGTAATTAACCTGGCTGCCATATTTTGAACCAATTGAAGTTTCCGGGTAAGGCACAAAGGTAGCCCCATGTAGAGTGTGTTGCAGTAGTCCAGACACGAGGTTACCAGAGCATGTACCACAGTTTCCAAATCCCTCATATCCAGGTAAGGGCTCAGTTGGTGTATCAGCCGAAGCTGATAACAGGTGCTCCTGACCACCGCATTCACCTGACTAGTCATGTGAAGCAACGAGTCCAAGAGCACCCCCAAGCTGTGAACACAGTCCTTGGAAGAGAGTGTGACTCCATCCAGGACTGGAGACTGTATTCCCAGATCTGGTTTCAGGCCTGTGACTGTGAGTACCTCCGTTTTGTCTGGATTCAACTTCAATCTGTTTTTCCTCATCCAATCCATTACCGCTCTGAGACAATCATTAAGAGGAGAGGAGACTGATATCAGAACACAGTGGCTCAGAAAATGTGGGCAAGACGACATTGAAAAACAGAAAGTAAAATTTTTTCTACTCTCTTAGAATTGTATCCAACATTAGGGGGCAGGGGGAAAAAACAGGATGGGACATTGTTTCACTAAGTCAAAGTTGGGGTTCCTGTATCCCCTCAGGTGTTGACAAACTACCTTTCCCTTAACCCCTCATCACTGATCAGGTATCTAGACCTGAAGGAAATGGCAGTCGAACCACATTTGGAAGGCCAGCCCTGCATCAGCAGTTTTGTGTATATTAGCAGAACAATTAATGCAAGGAACACCTAATACAATGAAGTTGTAATGGACTGGGCAATGTCTTGTGAAAAGGCTTAAAGAATATTGTGCATTAACAGAATCAGAGGATACTCAGCAATGGAAACAGCTTATGAAAGAGTTGAATCTTTCAACTAAGGAATGAAACCACTCTGGATACAAGTGCTAGTCTTCTCATTCCTAAAGATAACACTACCTAGCTATCAGGCTAGAATCTGATTCAATCAATACTATTGAATGTCAACATGCATACAGTATATTGAGATATCAATGTTACATCTCTGTGGTTTCATTCAGCTGCTTTTGTCATGTTTGTAGTTGGTTTGCACAGTAGATCCCTGGCTGGCCTATATGTTTATATATTGCCAGCCATGGATGATTTGTGTATTCTATACTCAGATGGATGTATTGGTTTGTATAAATATTATTTTGGAGCCTGAGCAGTGTTGAGGGTTACATGCTCGCTGGTTTGTCTAACATCCATTAATCTTTTAAAAAAACCATATTGCTAAAAGATTATTTGTCCTGGTGGTCCTAATGCAGCTTTACACCACTAAATATAGCACCTCTTGCTTAGAAACTCTGAACAGAGTTATTCAAAATTCACTTTTTCTTTTCTACATACACACTATCAGCACTCTCACAAAATGATGAAGGGACAAAAATTTAATTTACTAATTCTTAGAAAATCTGTGCTAGGAATCTTGATGTATGCAGTCTAAGACAGCTGTGTGTTTTGTCTAAGAAAAGAGGCAGGTTTCTGAGCTATAAGAAGCCTTGTGTTTTCTGAAATAGGACACACTAATTTTTTCTCCAACCCAACAGGCATTACCATGTATAATCTGTTATTTGCATACCTACCAGTAATGCATCAAACCTGCATTCTTTATCTTGGACTAAGTTTAACTGCAGAACTCATAACTAAAATTTGTAACCCAATTTCTATGCATCTTCCTCCATTTTTATTTTTACCACCTAGCTCTCTGATGAAGAGAGTTATGGAGAGCTCAAAACATCACACACTGTTGTAAATTGTTGGTCTGATAAAAGATTTGCCCATCTATGAATTTGAAGTTTTGTTGTTCTGATGAACCAATGTGATGACCTTTATTTTCATGTTAGAAATGTTAAGCAAGATCTGAAGAGATTCATGACTCACATATTCTGCTAAACTGAGATGCTTAAATACACAAGGATCTCAAAGTAAGCAGCAAGACAGGGCTTTCATTAAATTTAGATGAGTGCTTTCTCTCCACAAATCGAGATTTATATTGTTAATAAATGTTGACAGCACTCTAAATCTGCTTGTAACCAGTCAGGCGTCAAACATTTGCTCAGTACCATATCGCAGCTTCCATTATATATTCTAACCAAGTTTCTGTATACGTTTAGTGCTTTATTAATGTATGCCAGCATAGTTTTACTGGCTCCCACACTACTGCAATCAGTTTTGGGATGGCCTTAGGCTCATCTATTGCACAGTGGTGAATCGGCTTTCCATCCACCAAGATAAAGACGAAAGAGAGGGTTGAGTCTGTCTTTGTGGTGAAGGAAGAAGTGACTGTGGAATGAGTGATTAGTTAGGCAACCTCCGAGAAAAACTGAAGTGCTTACACAATAATTTTTATGCTGGCATATTCCCTATATGTTGTAATCAAAGGTTTTTAGATGTTGTTGTGTGTCTTCAAGGCATTTCCAATTTATGGTGACCCTCAGGTGAACCTATCATGGGGTTTTTGGGGGCTGAGAATGTGTGACTCACTGAGAGTCATCCAGTGGGTTTTACATGACTGAGTGGAGAATTGAACTCCAATCTCCAGCATCATAGCCTCGAGCTCAGACCACTGTGCCATACTGACTTTTTCCAGAGGTACTAGACATGGCAAAAAGAATCTATCTATCTCTGCAGATCCAGGGATTCTTCTATGCCAGCCAATGCTGCCCTTTTTTACAATTCCATTTTTACTATATAAAATTAGGCCTTTGCAGACTGCCAGAAATAGTGCAAATTGAGTCCAATTTTAGGGTTAGAGTTAGGGTTAGGGAATCATGGGAACTGTATTTCATTGTGACACCAGAGCTCTCTGACAGAGAAGGCTCAATGTCTCAGGGAAAAAAAACAATTCCCATGATTCCCTAGCACTAACCCTAACCCTTAAAGTGGACTCAATTTGCACTATTTCTGGCAGTATGCAAAGGCTCTTAATCTCCCCCGTCAGACCTTCGCTTATATCTACGTCGTTTCCCAGAGAGCTTATCTAAGTTTTACTGTTTTATTGTTTATTTTAACTTTAGTTTTAACTCAGATCTGTATTTAATCTACTTTTTTGGGGGGGGGGGGTAAATACATTGCTTGTAACTTATTGTATGAATTGTTTTTTATGTATTGGTTTTTATATGTAAGCCAGCATGATAGCTACGGCTAAAGGCGGGATATAAATAAACTATTATTATTATTATTATTATTATTATTATTATTATTATTATTATTATCATCATCATCATCATCATCATCATCATCAATCATCATATCTGGAGATGATTTGGGTAAAGAGAAATAAATCTCACCATCTTTTAGGATAGCAGGAAAAACCTATTAGCCTCATTCAGAGGAGACTGTTACTCAGATTGAGAGGAGACTGATGAAAACAGTTTATAATTTTCAGAGAAAGACAGTTAATCTTAAAGAGGCAGTGACCTAAGTAGGAATCCCTATCTATATAATGAAGGGAAAGAGAATGCATAGGTTTCTTCCAACAAAAACATTGCTTCATGTCCATGGCTAAATGAACAAATACATCATTTTTACATAGTACTATCTCTTCTTTTTCTTTGTGGTTATATACAACAGACTATTTGGACCATGGCACAACTGATTAAACTTTCTTTCTTTCTTTTTATTTCAGGCAGAAATTTGTCCTAGAGTTGAAGGTGAAGGCATTCAAACCTGCCTCTGGGCTTCTGCTGTCAATGTCAGAGACAAATATATTTATGTAACACAGCCTAAGTGGAATAGAATAATGATCCTAGATATCCAGACTCAGAAAGTCATTCAGGTAACTTTCAAGGGACAACCATTCACTTTAATGTGGAAAAAGACACTGCTACCACATAGAATTTGGCCTCTTCTGAAAAGAGATTCTAGCTATTGAGCTGCCCAGTGAAAAATGACACTTTCTTTTAAAAACACAAGCTGGGCAAAAAGCAGAAGTCCCTACCAGAAACTGCATCCAAATAATATAATCACTAATATTTTGTCAGGAAGAATTTTTGATAACAACAATGTTGGCAGTTGAAGTCTGTTCACAGTGTGAGCAGAGCTGTATTTTGGGTCTGTCCCCCAGTTAGCATTGCTCATCAGATTTTGTAGTTCAAAAAAGTAACTTTTCCCAATTCTGATATGTTGTAATAAGTATCATGGTGAAAATCCATTTGCCAATCCCATTGAATCAATGGGATTTACGAAAGCAATAAATTACCATTCAACACTTAGCCATTTAACAATTTAAACGATGGGTCTTCTCAAGATGGGATTAGCAGTTGTTTTAGGCCTATGTCTATACAGGTTTGTGATTGCGATCATGTCTGTACAGCAGGAGTGGAACAATGTGGCCCGCCAGACGTTGCTGTAATGCAACAGCATTTCTCACCTTTGGCTATGCTGGCTAGGACTACAGGGATTTGTGATCCAACAACATCTGGAGAGCCACATAATTTCCACCTCTGATATAGAGGATGTAGTACTCTGAAACTGTTCTTTTGTGAATTTTACCTGACAATAAGCCTCATTGAATATATTGTCAATAGACTTTAGAGTAAAACATGTACAGGACTACATTGTAAGGATTCATTCCTATCTGAATGCATGAGATTTGGTTGAATATTCTTCAGAAGGCCAAAACTGATGTTGAGATTATGGCATATGCAAATGACAACAGGACTGGAGCATCACAACTCTTCACCCAATATAGCCAGCATGAACTGACAGCATGACAACATAGATAATAATAATAATAATAATAATAATAATAATAATAATAATAATAATAATAATAATAATAAAATTTATTTGTATACCGCCCAATGGTTTCCCAATCCGGGCGGTTAACAGCATAAAAACAGTACAAAAACACATCCATCCCACCCTTAAAACAGCATTAAACAATTCCAATTTAAAATCAATAACAACAAGACTAAAATCAGTTAATTCCAGTTTCAGTAACCCCTTAAGATATTTTAGTTTTCCACAATAGGGGAACCAGGTACCACAGGTTGGATGTATAAAATATAGAATCACCCGAAGTTGATTATCTAGTCCGGAAAGGCCTGCCGGAAGAGATCCGTCTTTACAGCTTTTTTAAAGCTATCCAAAGATGTGAGCTGACGGATCTCATCCGGCAGGTCGTTCCAGAGCTCGTAGAGTGCTGTTCAGTGCAAACAAAGCTCCAAGGCGTAAGAGCTGTACAGATGAAAATGTTCACTATGGAAAAGCCACAAGATTCACATGTTCTGATCTGTATTATAAATGGGTGGAAGTTGTGTGTGTATACATGTAGATGATATGGAAGCAGTAGTGGGGTAGCAACAGTCATATTGCTGCTAATAATATATGAAGAAGTGGTATATCGTTCAACTTTGACATGGAATAGACCTTGCTTAGAAAAGGATATCTTAATAGCATGTTAACATGAATCAAAAGAACCCTTCTTCATGGGAAAAACTGATAGATTTATTTTTGTTTCTTTGAAGTCCTTGGATGTTGACCCTCTACCAGTAAAATTACATTATGATAAGTCACATGATCAGATTTGGATACTTAGCTGGGGGGATAGGAGGAAATCCCATCCAACGCTGCAGGTAAGCCTTATATGAAGTAAACAACTGTTTACAAGTTCTTTGTAGACTGTTTTCTCTGCAGATAGTTATCAGTAATTTTTCATGGTTAAAAAAAATCTTTTGGTTATCAACCCTGCTTTATTTTCCTCCATGTCTTTGGTTTTGGACACCATTTTAAATATAATATAAATGCAACAAGCTTCACAGTGACAACTGTGTAATATTCACACCTAAAAGTTATAAATTGCAGTACCTGATTATTACTATCCTGCCCCAGTGTGGGAACTAAAGAGCATTTCAACTGCCCTGAGTGGAATACAAGATTGTGTCAGAACTAGGAAAACTCCCACTCCCAGACACAATCAATCAGTCTTAAATTGGTTAATAAAGGATGTCTATTGCTGGAGCAATAGCAGACAGAAGTTGCTAGTAAGGCATCTTGGTTAGAACTGAGGGTATTAGGGCACATCAATGTATAATAAAGGCATTTGAAAATTAATTGGTCCACCCCGTCAGCTTGGCAGGTTTTCATACATCGTTCTCAAAACAATACATCATTTTTAAAATGACAACCAGATGTTCAACAATATCTACTTTTCCAGGATGGCTAGCTTATATTGTTCTGGTAATAATAATAATAATAATAATAATAATAATAATAATAAT